GGGAGACGGCAGAGGGGTACGTGAGGGGAGGCGGCGAGAGGGAGAGAGGAGAGGAGAGGAGATGAGAACACAGGAGGAGGTGAGTGAGGGATGAGGAGAGGAGGTGGGGGGGTGGCCGCGGCGTCCCCTCTTACTAACCCCCTTTTACGAAAGGGGGGTTGAGTGGGGGATGAGGAGAGGAGGTGGGGGGGTGGCCGCAGCGTCCCCTCTTACTAACCCCCACATCCCCACCCCCAATCAACCACCCTCCTTCAACCTCACCCCCCATTTCAGCCGCCCCCTGGAACCGCACCCCCTCCCTCCCTTCCTTCCTCCACACCCCTGCCCCACTCACAGTTGTCTCTGCCCTGTCCTTCACATGGCAGCCAGCCCTCCCACCCCCCCGTCCCTGCCACCTACCCCCCACAGTAGCTGCCGCGGGAGGGGAGAGGCAGGGCAGAGGGTGGTGCTCTGCTGGCGGGGTGCTCTGCTGGCGGGGTTCTCTGCTGGCGGGGTTCTCTGCTGGCGGGGTTCTCTGCTGGCGGGGTTCTCTGCTGGCGGGGTTCTCTGCTGGCGGGGTTCTCTGCTAGCGGGGTTCTCTGCTGGCGGGGTTCTCTGCTGGCGGGGATCTCTGCTGGCGGGCTTCTCTGCTGGCGGGGTTCTCTGCTGGCGGGGTGCTCTGCTGGCGGGGTTCTCTGCTGGCGGGGTTCTCTGCTGGCGGGGTGGCCCTAGAGCTGGTGCTGGTGCTGGCGGCTGGCCCTGGAGCTGGTGCTGGTGCTGGCGGCTGGCCCTGGAGCTGGTGCTGGTGCTGGCGGCTGGCCCTGGAGCTGGTGCTGGTGCTGGCGGCTGGCCCTGGAGCTGGTGCTGGTGCTGGCGGCTGGCCCTGGAGTTGGTGCTGGTGCTGGCGGCTGGCCCTGGAGCTGGTGCTGGTGCTGGCGGCTGACCCTGGAGCTGGTGCTGGTGCTGGCGGCTGGCCCTGGAGCTGGTGCTGGTGCTGGCGGCTGGCCCTGGAGCTGGTGCTGGTGCTGGCGGCTGGCCCTGGAGCTGGTGCTGGTGCTGGCGGCTGGCCCTGGAGCTGGTGCTGGTGCTGGCGGCTGGCTCTGGAGCTGGTGCTGGTGCTGGTGGCTGGCCCTGGAGCTGGTGCTGGTGCTGGCGGCTGGCCCTGGAGCTGGTGCTGGTTCCTGGTGCTGGCGGCTGGCGCTGGTGCTGGTTCCTGGTGCTGGCGGCTGGCGCTGGAGCTGGTTTCTGGTGCTGGCGGCTGGCGCTGGTGCTGGTTCCTGGTACTGGCGGCTGGCGCTGGTGCTGGTTCCTGGTGCTGGCGGCTGGCGCTGGTGCTGGTTCCTGGTGCTGGCGGCTGGCGCTGGTGCTGGTTCCTGGTGCTGGCAGCTGGTGCTGGTGCTAGTTCCTGGTGCTGGTGCTGGTATTGGTTCCTGGCGCTGGTGCTCGTGCCTGGTGTTGGTTCCTGGTGCTGGCGCGGGTCTGCTGGTTCGTTTACTGGCGGGCTTGCGGGTCGTGGACGATCTGTGGCATGCAGTGGTGGAGCAGCAGCTTCTCCCGCCACTCCCGCCACGCCCGCCATTCCCGCCACTCCCGCCACGCCCGCCATTCCCGCCACTCCCTTCACAGCAGCTGCGAAGTCGACGGGAGGGCAGGCGGGGACGGAACGGGACGGGACGGAATGCGGGCTGGCTGTGGTGCTCAAGTGACGGTCGCCACCCTTTTCCCCCTCTCCTCTCCCCCCCCCACTGCGACCGTCGACGTTTCCGCGACAGTGAGCCACGTCGAGGCAGCGTGACGGGGAAGGGCGACGGGGAAGGCAGCGGCGGTTCGAGGGGCCGACGGGGGGCAAGAGCAGCGGCGCGAAACAGCGGGTCGACGAACGTCGTTACTCCCGCCACGACCGTCGCGTCTGTCACGACTACCGTGACGGATTTTGCTACGGGCGAGCGACGGGGAAGGACGGGACACGCCATCACGATAACTAACGGTGGGCCCTTAAAAAATTAGGTCGGGAACGACCTAGCTCAATACCATGTTACGATACGATCTTAGCTAGGAACGGGTTTAACTAAGGGCCTAGGCTTAGTAGCCTAGGCCAAGCGGGTAAAGAGTAGTTTGTGCCAAGGAGAAATGTCGAGAATGGTTGGGTTCACTATAGGACCAAAGGTACATATAGCAAACAAAAGCACCACCAAGCAAACAATCAAATAACTACACTATAGTAACTACAGCAAGCAGGATATATTAAACATAACTTTGACATGAAGGTGTGCAGGGCCGCAGCAGACGCAGTACCAGAGAGAGCAGACTCACCAGCACCTAGGGCAGCAGACTCACTACCAGCGCAAGAAGGCGTACTCGGGGAACTCTGCGCGGAAGGCGTCGGTAAGACGGTAGAAGCAGCGGTGCTGAGTGTGAGACCTCCCGCATGTCTGACTAGTGCGGTCACCTGTGCGAATGTCATACGGGCAGGGACCACTACCCCCAGCCGCCCCACGCTGAGCAAACCACTCACGGAGCTCCTGAGACGAAAGGGGCTGACGCTGCTGCTGCCGCTGGCCACCTCCAAGGCCTCCCCTCTGGCTGGTGCCACCCCTGCTGCCCCCACTGCCGCCGCCTCCACTCCCTTTGCCGCCACTACCGCCGCCACCACCGCTGCCACCACCACTCCCACTGCCGCCACCACTCTCATTGCCGCCACCACCGCCGCCACCTGCCCCGCCGCCCCCACCACCACTACCTCCTCCACCGCCGCCCCCACCACCGCCTCCACCGCCCCCACCACCGCCTCCACCTCTGCCACCCCCACCTCCTCTGCCTCCCCTGCCGCCCCTGCCCCTGCCGCTGCGGCGCCTCCCACTAGGGGCAGACGCAGCTCCTACCTCCTCAGCACGAAGGTAGTCAACAGCTGCAGCAGAGGCGACTGAGGGGAGAAGGGGGAGGGCGAACACCCCTCAAAGAAGGGGGTGCGAGGAGTGCCACGAGAAGCGCCTACAGCGACTATGCTAGTCTCAGCTGCTAGGAGGTGCTTCTCGAGTAGGTCGACAGTGAGGTCGGTCGGGTCAAGTGCTAGGAGGAGGTCCCTGACTGCAGTCAGGGAGTCAGGGAGGCGGGTGACTATGAAGTAGAGCATGATGTACATGGGGGGGGGGGGGGGGGGGGGGGGGGGGGGGGGGGTTCTTGGTGAGAAACTCGGCGGGGAGTGCAGCACGGTAGCGAGTGTCACTAGTGCGGAGGTGAGTGACTAGGTCGGCTACTGTGGCAAAGGCGGACAGGTCTGGGAACAAGGAGGGCAGGAGAAGGCGGCCTAGAGCACTAGTGGCCGGGGAGGAGTAACGAGCGACTAGAGCGTCGTACAGTGCTTTCGCTGTCTTATGCTGGCCAAAGTGGGCGCGTTCGGCTAACGGCAGGTGGTTGTGAACGGCTAGGGGAGCAGCAGCGTCACGGGTAAGCCACTGTGAGCGGGTCGCACTGTCAGCTATGGCGTCAGGGGCGGGCGAGGCGCCAGAAGTGAGGTCAAACAGCGAGGTACTATTCTTAGAGTCTGTCAGTAGGAACAGCTGTAAATCGTCTAGCCATGGAGCGAACTCTATCGGGCGGCCCTCCGAATCGAAAGTGAGAACATTGAGAGTGGCCATAGCGAGCTAGGCAGGGGAGCGCGCTAGCAGTAGTGCAGCAGAGAGCGGCGCGTGGCGCACATAGTAGGGTAGGGCGCACGGCAGGGCAGGGCGTGCCAACAGGGCAAGGCGCGCACGGAAGGGCAGAGGCGCGCACGGCAGGGCAGAGGCGCGCGGGCAGGGCAGAGGCGCGAGGCAGTACGGCGCGCGGGCAGGGCAGAGGCGCGCGGTAGGACAGGGCACGCGGCGGCGCGGCGCGCAAGGAGGGCAGGCCGCCCGGCGGCGCGGCACGCAGGCAGGGCAGGGCGCGCGGCGGCGCGGCGCGCAGGCAGGGTAGGGCGCGCGACGGTGGCGCGTTGGCAGGGCAGAGCGCGCGGCGCGACGCAGCGATGCGACGCGCGGGCAGGGCAGGGCGCGCGACAGCGCGGCACGTGGTCAGGGCAGGGCGCGCGGCGCGACGCGCAGGCAGGGCGACGCGGCGACACGACGCGCGGGCAGGGCAGGGCGCGCTGCTGCAGGTGGCGCGCGACTTAGCAGGGCGCGCTGCAGCAGGTGGCGCGCAGGCAAAAAAAAGTGCACGCTGCAGCAGGCGGCGCAGGGCAGGGCAGGGCAGGGCAGGGCAGGACAGGTCAGGGCAACGCCATCACAGTGGCGCGACGGGTGGGGTAGTGCTACTCGGTGGGCCCTAAGAAATCGGTCCTAGGCTAGGACCTGCTCTGAAACCATGTTAGAATAATGAAAAGGAATGAATAAACTAGCAGCAGGATGGGTACAAGTAGGAAACCCTAAGTTGTGTTGTACCCTATATAGGCTACCCCACTACAGCCTACACAACAAGCAGCACATATAGTTTGACATTTCAGACTTTGTTACTCACCCAAAACGAGTAGCAAAAAATAGGCAAGTAATTTACTCGCCTTGTTGCCCATGCCTACTGTGCCATTATGATGTTCACCCTGGCGTTTTCAGGGGAATTCAAAGAAAGTCCCTTGGGTCTTACATACGGGGACTATAATAGAAATGAGGTACAACAAGGGACCTCGAAAGTTGACATTTAGCACAGGTTGGGCACGCGAAGTCTGACGGCGATGTGAGGGAGCCATAAGGTTGAGAAGATGAGGCCAAGCATGTCATTCCGAGCGATTTTGTTGTACTGTTGTAGCGTAAACTAGAAGAAATTATAATTTCCATGCACTTCCTACATGGGGCTACAATCTCCAAAGACAAAAATCACCTGCTGTAACATACTTCCTTTTGATACCATGTGATTGGCTTCCACTTACCTGATACTCCTCTATAAGCAGCACGTTGCAGGGCTTGATGTCGCGATGCGCGGTAGACTTCTCCGCGTGGCAGTGGAGTGCAGGTACTTGAGCCCTTCTCACTGGCAAATGTGATACCATGTTACCGCATTCCACCCACCTGGTAGTCCTCTGTGAGCAGCACGTTGCAGGGCTTGATATCTCGATGCACTACGGGCTTCTCCGCATGGCAGTGCAGGTATCTGAGCCCCTCCGCCAGCCCCAGTGCCGCATCTAGTCGCTCCTCGAAGGTCAGCAAGTGCCCTTGGAACTTGGCGTAGAGATGGTCGCTGAGAGGGCCGTTGCGCACATACTCGTACACCAACACCTGGAGAGGGAGAGGGGGGGAAAGGGGCGTGGGGTGGGGGGGGGGGGGGGGGGGGGGGGGGGCGGGAGGTGGGGGGGTGAATGCGTGCAGCAGGTGCCCGTGGAACTTGGCTTATAGATGGTCGCTGAGTGGGACGTTACGCACATACTCGTAGACCAACACCTGGAGGGAGAGAGAAGGGAAGGAGGGGGAAAAGGCTTCTTAGTTGGCTAAGAAAAACAGTTGCGCACATATACCAACACCTGGAGAGGGGGAAGGGAGGGGGGGGGTGGTTGGGTTTGGGTATACCAAGGACAAATCAGGGATTCAACTGTTGCACACTTTAGCAGACCCTGAATTGTTATATACATTTGCGGACCCTGTCATTACAGAGTACGAATCCTATGGACCCTGAATGAGACAATATCGGAGCGAAAATTCTAGAAAACTTCGTATGAGTACCTCCACATGTGCATAATCATGATGATGCTTGCCCCCATGTGATGGAGCACTGTCACGCGTAGTACTAACGCAGTAATACCGACGACGAATACCACAATGTGCTGTACAGCACAGCTGTCAAAATTGACAGCGCAGCCCGAATCATGATGTTTTCTACCACGCGCACCTCGTAATGCACAACAGGTGTCCCTCATTGGCGAGGGACACCACATGTTGGCAGTCGGCGCTGGCAGACAACAAGGCCTTCAATGTATTCGTCCATGCATTGATAGCCGAATATGTTGACGCCTCGAGGTTGTCACCATCGAGCCATAGATTCCGTGGCAACACGAGGGTTTCTTGCTCACCCCGTCTTCTCGAACCATCTGTTCCTCCCCCCTCCCAGCAAGGGTTCTGGAGGTGCAGCTGTTATTTTCATTTCTGGCATTCATTCTCTCAGTTTCTCCGGCTCCCCCTCTCTCAACTTCTCACCGCCATGGAAGGACTGCAGGCCGACAACGATTCTCCTCAAGGTGGCTCAGATGAGCCACCGTTACTGCTGAAACCTACCGAGGCTACCCAGCCGGAGAAAGTTTCTGATGTCCGTCGCTCTAGGCTCGATTTCCTTAGAACTAGTGCAGCTCCGACTACACCCGATCCTCCTAGGTCCACCGTCCATGACTCTGCAGAGAGGGAAACTTGTGCTCCGACCGAGTCTCCCCGTCCCGCCGCTTTCACTCTACCCCGGCAATTGCTTCTTGCAGTAAAGCTCCCCTACTATCCGCGCCAAGTCCCTCTCCGAGTACGAAGCGGGCGTTAGTTGGGCCTCTGTCGGCTACTTCCGGCCCAAAGACAGTACCCTGCTCATTGGAGGCCACCGTATTCCGTCACCTGACAACCCGGGTGATCCACCACCTGCCCCTTAGTCAACAGATATCCCTGTTTGTGCGGACACCGGGTCGCCCCAACTCTTGAAGTTGGATCTGAGAGACCAGATGTACCTGGAGGCAAGTATTAATTACGAGACAAAATGGTCGGGCATATTTTTGTGGCTCGTTTTTGGCAAAACTAAGGCTGGATTCCCGTATGTATAATGCAGCTTGTGCATGTCTTATGGGAAGGATAATAGCCGCTATTCCAGGCCAGGTGATGACAGTGGCCATAATTTGCAGACGCAGTCGTTCCGGGCTCACGAGCACACGGACGCTCACAATGCGGCAGTACAGCGGCAACCGTATATTATGAGGGTCATCGCCAACAGATAGCAGGTGATTTCAAACTTCATCAACTCGGACGTCGAGGGGAGGCGTGCGATTCGACTCACGCGGTCGTTGCAGTTTTTGTGCCAGTGCAACGCACCGATCAGCTTGTTTTTTAAACTGATGCGGCATCTGGTGGAGCAGGATATGCCCGACATACCCCGGTAGTCTTACTGGGTGTACCTGACTTGGTAAGGGGAAACATCGCTGTGTTAATGCAGCCGTAATCTTCTTAATACTTTCTCGGTAAAAAATTATACGTGTACTACATATTGTGCAGGTACGGCTTTCAGCAGATGGTTTACAGCATCAGCACCTACCTGACGAGGGTGCAGATGGAGCACATCCAAGCTTCGCCATTTCTGGGCCTCAGCTACAACAAGAGCACCGACCAAACGCGAGGGAAACATCTGATTGCCTACCTTACTTTTCTGAAGAACCGTCGGATCGTCACTGAGTTCTTCTCACTGCTGACTGTTGAGAAGTGTGATGCAGGGTCCTTGTTCGAGGTGCTGTTGAACCATCTCCGCACTTCGGCTGTCGATGTGCCCAAGATTGTGGGAGTCAGCATGGACGGGGCGTTGGTGATGTTGGGGAAGGACAACGGTTTGGTGGCGCGGATTTGGGAGCACGTCCTCCACCTGTTTTCCCGCCACTGCATCGCCCATAGGTGAGTTGTTTTTATCATAAGTTGTTCAATGCATACAGATGTTTACTGTAGTGATTGCTAATGGCATCCTTTTTATTTAGTGGTTTGCCATTCCCATATGTCACATGCCTTCTACAGGGAAGCACTCGCTGTGAAGGACGATGCAACGGCAAACCTGGAACTGGATATGGTGGACAAGGTGGTGCGTACAGTGGCGGCTGAGCTCGGGAAGTCGTGCGTCTGGATTCAGCTGTTCAAGTACATGCAGCGTGTCATCTACAACACCAACCTCGAAGTGCAGGGTATCCACACTGTACAGTGGCTGTCAAGAGGCGATGCGGTGCGTCGACTCTGCAAGGTCCTCGGGGCGTGCATCGTTGTGCTCTGGAAAAAACAACCACAAGGCGTACGAGATCGTCACGTCCTTCAAGTTCCAGCTTTGCCTGTTTTTCCTGGCCGACATCCTTGCATACATGAAAGAGCTCAACCGATGTTTCCAGAAGCGCGATGTAATTAGACACCTGCCACGTTCGGCCTATCATTCTGTGATGCGGCTTCAACTTACTGCGGTTTTGTTCTGTGTTCTGTTTGTGATTTTGTGCCAGCTAGATGTGATGGGGATTTACAAGGACGTGGAGGGCACAACGGCAGATTTGACAGAGCAGTTCGGTGGCAAGAGGAAGTCCTGGCTGGTCAACTTTCTCCAGGTGCACGGGCAAGGCAGAGGCAAGAAGGTGCGGGTTCGCGGTGTGGACGGGGAAGGACGCCCAATCAACCACATGTACACCATGCACAAGAGGCAGCTCCCTGGGCACAAGTACGATAGCACCTACGTCGACTACGTCAAGCTGTGCCGCAGGTTGCGTTGACAACCTCAATGAGTGGCTTGACGACCTACAGAAGTTGGGGCCTACAAAGCTGTACCGGGCGGGGAAGTGGCCGAAGATCAAGGCCCAACGGGAGAAGAAGTGTCTTGAGTGGCTGCACGGATGCAGGAAGCTATTTCACAACAAGCTGCCGGGATTCGATATGAAGGCCGCAGAGAGGGAGCTCCCGACTTGGAGTGTGATAATGGAGACGCACCATGAGGAGGAAAGCTTCGCGCAGGGCCTTACCAACTTCCTCGAGAGCGCTGACTCGAAGAGGTAACATAACAGCATGTGATATCCTCCTCTTTATAAACGTTTCCATAACATTCTAACGGATTTGCCTTGATACACCTGGCAGGAGATGGCCCAACCTCATCCTTCTGTGGCAGGCGATCGCGGTGCTCCCGCTGTCAACCGTGGAGTGCGAGCGGGGCTTTTCCAGGCATAACGTCATCAAGTCTTGGGTGCGAGGCGCCCTTTGCAGCGCGTGCCTGGGCGAGCTGATGCAGATTTTTCTCCTAAGGTACGACATCGATTGGCGGAAGCCCTGGATGTCTGGAAGTCCCTGAGGAGGAGACGTCATTGTCAAACTGTATGTTTGTATTCTTTCTAGGCTATAGTGGGTTAGCCTACAAGGGGTACAACACTTTAGGGTTAGTACTTGTACCCAACTTATTCATAGTTCATTCATTCCTGCACAGTTATTCTGACAGTCATGTGAAGAGCGCAAAGTTGGCTGTGGAAGAGCAGGCCAAGAAGAGGAAAGACAAGGAGGGTGAAGATGGGGGAGGTGCTACCGGGCAGAACGATGATGACAAGGAGGGGGAGGACGAGGCGGATGCAGAAGAGGAAGTGGACATGGATCAGGAGCTCGTGGACGAGGAAGAGGAGGATCATCCTTTCCTCTCAGACGATGAGGATGTGGAAGAGGTGTTCCACATTAACAAGCCCATGCACTAAATAGTTTAGACAGAGGATGTGCATCACGTTGTTGTCACGCAAAAAGTGAAAGTGATGTGTAATGTGAAGTGCAAGTGCAACCTTGAACTGAAAGTGTGAACCCTGAAGTTTCAGAGTGGAACACTGGTGGAGACCACTGAGCAATCAGAGTAGCAATCTCTCAAGAGTGTAATGCAACGGAATGAATTGACTAACAAGGGAATGGGGTACAAATATGGAAACCTAAAAGCTGTACCCCCTAGAAGGCACATCACTACAGCCTATTACAAATAATAACATTCGACACACCCCCATAGGCTAAGTGAGGGGCACCAAAACAAGCAAGGCAGACAAACAGTCACAAGACCAGTCAGCAAGAAGCAAAACAAGCTCAGGGTGGATCTCAAGGACACCACACAAATTCCGAGCACAAACAAGCGGCCACAAGGCCAGTTCAAGAGTTCACTAGGATATATATAGGAAAGCACAACAAGCAGAGCAAGCAACAAGACTACAGCAACCGGGCGCCTACCTCAACAAGCCTCAACTGCACACAGAACCTATGGTGGTCACCAAGCGCTAGGGCCTTGGTGAAGACGTCTGCAGTGTTGGCCTCTGAGGCCACAAAGTCCAAGCGTGCCTGGCCGCGTCGCTGCAGCTCTCGCAAGAGGAAGTACCTCACGTCAATGTGCGTCACTCTGCTCTCCAGTCGAGGCTCTCGATAGAGGAGGATCATGGCCTTGTTGTCAGCGTACAAGGTCGGTGCAGAGCGAGGCCGCTCACCAAGGTCAGCGAGCAAGAAGGTCAACCAGCGAAGCTCCTGTGCCGCCATGGCACCAGCGTAGATCTCTGCCTCTGCACTGGAAGTAGCCACAGACGATGACCGTGTAGACCTCCACGATACAGCACCAGCTCCCAGACTGAAGCAGTAACCCTGAGTCGAGCGCTGAGTCTCCACGTTGTCAGCGTAGGAAGAGTCGCAGTGACCAGTCAACGCCACTGGCTGAGTCCCTCCAAGCACAAGCCTCATGCCTGATGTAGTCGCCAGGTACTTCGCCACCCTCACAGCAGCTGTCCAGCAGGACGGTGTCTCCCAGTCGCAACAAAGCGAGAAAGTATGCTGAGGGGAAAGGCGAGGTCCGGCCGAGTACAAGTCATCCGGTACATGAGAAAGCCCACCCGCATTGCGTAGGGACCACTGGACTCAAAGGGCTTGTCGGGAAAGGGGCCAGTGAGTCTGTGGTCAACAGCAAGAGGTGTGGGCTGTGTGGTGGAGAACTGGAAGTCGAACCGCTGAAGGACCTGCTGCACCATGTGTGACTGAGTCAGTGTGATGGTGCGAGCGGCTCTGTCCCTGGTGATCTGCAGGCCAAGGTAGCGCTGCAGTTCACCTAGGTCAGTACACTTGTGTCTCTTCTGCAGTTCGGACTTCACCTGAGCCAGAGCTGCCTTGTCTGCTGTGGCAAAGACCAAGTCATCGACGTACACTAGTATAAAGAAAGGAGTGGAACCAGTGTGAACAAACAGCGACGGGTCAGCAGAGGAAGGACAAAACCCAAGGTCACGAAGCGTGGAGCGAAGAGTGTCGTGCCACTCACGGGGCGACTGGCGGAGACCGTAGACTGGCCGTCTCAGGCTCCACTGGGTCCCAGGTGGGAAGGTGTCAGTGAAGCCAGGAGGGCGGCGCAGCCAGATCTCCTCGTGTAGCCGGCCCTGGAGAAACGCAGTAGAGAAGTCAAGGGAGTGCAGCTCGTAGTCTCGCTGTGCTGCTACGTGCAATAACACCCAAAGAGTAGTCATCTTCGGGGTCGGGGGGAAGGTCTGGAAGAAGTCAACTCCCTCACGCTGACTGAAACCCCTAGCCACGTAGCGCGCCTTGAACACAGGCGGTGAACCAGGCGGCCGCTTCACCTTGAAGAGCCACATGTCATCGACTACGTTCGCCCTGGGAGGGGGAACTGCGTCGACGTAGGTGCATGTGGATCTCCAAGATGCTAACTCCAAGGCCATAGCCGCTTTCCACTGTGAGGCCCACGCCCCTGACACTGCCTTGCGGTAAGTACGAGGATTCGGTATGTCAAGGGCGTCGGGGTCTCCCTCAGGGGATAGCAGCATGGCACAGACAGAGGGAGAAGCAGCTGCCCAGTACTCCAGCTCAGACTCTCTGTCCTCTACGACGTCACAGCCAAGGGCAAACTCACCCCCGACGGACAGAGGATGGGAGGGAAGAGCTGGCACCACACGGGTGGTGTAGTCAAGGGGACTGGCGGCAGCAAACTCAGCGACAGCGGCAGTGAGAGCCGAGACAGACGACGGAGGGAAACGAGAGTCGGTGACAAGAGTGGCGAGGACACGAGAGACAACAGGACGAACAGCACGGTAGTAGTCAGTGACAGGAGTAAGGGGGAAAGGGAGAGAGGACGGAGGAGGAGATGGGAGAACAGACTCAGGAGGAGGACGACGAAGAGACGAACAAAGGAGGGCAGTGCGGAGGTCGGTAACGGGAGACGAGTGACGAGCACGCGGAGGACATGGACGGACACGAGAGTGTGGGACACCAGGTGGAGGAGACTACGGTGGAGGAGAAGACCAGACTGCTGGACTGTCGTCAGGAGGAGGAAACGTGGGACCAAACGCTGGAGGGGACGGAGTGTGAACAGGAGGAGAGGAGGGAAGACCAAGGGCCCGAAGGCCACTCACGGGTGGGAACAACTGCCGCTCCAGAGGGAGCTGCGGTGGCGGTGTCTGCTGCTGCGGCGGCTGCTGCTGCCGCTGCTGCTCTAGCAGGTCCAACTGCCGCAACTCCTGCCGCTCCCTCTCCAACAGCACCTGCTCCTCACGCTCACGCCGACGGGCTGCCTAGAGACGCGTGTCGTGGCGGTGGGGAGGCGGAGTGGACTCCGCAGAACCTGTGTCTCCAACTCCAGTCTCCTCAGAACTAGCACCTCCAGTGCCAGTGCCTCCAGCACCAGCACCCCCAGACCCAGCACCTCCAGGACCAGCACCCTCAGAACCAGCACCCCCTGTGCCAGCACCTCCAGCTCCAGCACCCCCAGAACTAGCACCTCCAGTGCCAACACCTCCAGCTCCAGCACCCCCAGAACTAGCACCTCCAGTGCCAGCACCTCCAGCTCCAGCACCCCCAGAGCTAGCACCTCCAGTGCCAGCACCTCCAGCTCCACCACCCCCAGAGCTAGCGCCACGTGCGCCAGCACCTCCAGCTCCAGCACCCCTCGAACGAGCACCCCCAGACCGAGCACCGCCAGCGGCTGCACCTCCAGCTCCAACACCGACCGAATCCACAGTAACCTACCGCGGAAGTGCCGAAGGCTGCTGAGGAGACTGTGAGGAGGACTGCGGGGAGGGAGACGCTACCTGACGCGTGACCGAGGGAAGAGGGGTAGCGTGGGACACACCAGACGGGGCAGGACCAGGGTGGGGCGGGGGTACCGGAGGAGGGGGAGCAGGAGGCGGAGAGGGGGCGAGGAAAAGGGGGGGAGGGGGTACCGGGAGACCTCGACAGGGGTACCGGGTGTAGTAGGACACGGACTCGTCAAACCGGACGTCACGGGAGTCTAGGAACTGGTGGAGGGGAGGGTGGTAAAGGGACCAGTCGGCAGAGTCCACCGGGAAACCAAGGAAGACACAGGGGACGGCGCGAGCCGAGAGCTTGTCCGCGGAGGTGTCGCGAACAAGCGCAAGGCAGCCCCAGACACGAAAGGCCGACCCAACACCAGGGGACCCGGTCCAAAGACTGGTCGGTGAAGCCTCGGGCCGTGAGACGCGCGGCTGGAGGTTCAGCTGGTGTGCGGCGTAGCGAACCGCGTAGGGCCACAGAAAATGGGGCACACGGGCATGGATCATGGACGTGCGAGCAATGTCCATGACCAAGCCAATTCGGCGCTCAGCAACCCCATTCTGCTGTGGGGACTCCGGAAGCGTCCAGGACTGTACGATGCCCTGTTCACCGCAGAATCCGCCAAGAACGCCGGAGTGAAACTCCCCCCCACGGTCGGAATGTAGACAACTGACACGACGACCACGAGTGCCCTCAGTGGCCAGAAGCCACCGGATCAGCGTAGCAGTCACCTCGGACTTCTTCGCGAGAGGAAACACTGTGATGTACCTGGAGAAGTCGTCGACGACCACCAGAAAGTAACGCTCCCTCCCAGATCCCTGCGTCGGGGCAGGGCCCCAGACGTCCAAGTGGAGGGTCTCGTGGCCGGACGAAGGGAGGAGGAGTGAGGAGTGGCGCGTAAGCGACCGGCGACGCAAGGAGTGCAAGGGGGACCAAGAGAGGTAGGGAGCGACGGAAAGGTGCATGGGAGACCTGTGACAAGCCTCTGGCTGGTCATGCCGCGGAGGCGGGGGATCGACAGGTGACCAAGGCGGTGGTGCCACAAGACGGTCCGGTGGGTGAGGGAGCGACAGGAGCAAGACGCAGCAACCGGACAGGACACCGCGACCGGACTAGACGCGACCACCTGGCTAGACACAGCAACTGGACTAGACACCTGGACTGGAGGGGACGCAACGACCTAAGTGGAGGACGCAACCTGGGAGCGCTCGGTGTGGAGAACGTAGAGACCGGAGCGGGGCTCCCTGATGAACGTGGCCAGAACAGCACCAGTGGCAGCGTCTGTACAGACCGCAGTTCTCCCACCCCCCACAAAGGTAACCGTGATCCCCCTGTCCTGGAGGTAACCAACACCCACCAAGTTCCGAGTGAACGATGGGATGTGGAGGCCGCGCAGGACACCAGAGGGGACCACAGGACACGGGAGGGTAGTGGAGCTGCGCGCAACGGCTGGTCCTGAGGTAGGATGAGCCAAAGCTACCGAAACAGGAGTGAGGAGTGGCGTGAGGGTCGTGTGGTCGCGGAAGAAGCACTGAGACGCACTAGAGTCCAGCGTGAAGGACAGGGACGCCTCAGCCAGAGGGTCACATGTCCTAGTGGCTACACAAGCACCTAGAGCAGCAACACAAGCACCTAGACTAGAAAGGCACAAGTCTACACTAGC